TTTGTCAAGATCTTTGTATAGAGGAGACCTCGTTTGGTTACATAATGAGGTGTGGTATTATATATATAAATAACTAGCTACTTCCACGCGGTTTCACACGCTCTACTCAGCTCTTATTGATCGTAGCATGATGTAGCCTATAGCCATCCTCGATAAATGCGCTATCCAACACAAAAATAATTATTCAAATCAGACTTGTAGTCACGGAGGTTAGCGCGTTCAAACAAAAAATCTAACTCTTCCGCTTTATATATAATAGTACAAAAAATCAAACTCTTTTCCGCTTTTGTAATAGTATGTACTAGCTACTTCCGCGCGGTTTCACACGCTCTACTCAGCTCCTATTTTTTGTAGCGTGGTGTTTTATAGCCTGTAGCCATCCTCAATAAATGCGCTATCCAACACAAAAATAATTATTCAAATCAGACTTGTAGTTACGGATTAGCGCGTTCATATAAACAAACAAAAAAACAAAATAGTATAAGATAAGATTTGAGACACAGAGTTTAGTTTCTATTAACCTTTTGTCGTTTGAGGACCTCGTAACTAAAAAGCAGCTGTTACAATCGATTGTACTTTGAACACAGCTGCGTCTATGACAGAAAATTAAAAAAATGCTTGTAATTTTAGCAAAATGTCTCATAGTCATTCTAGTTTTTACTCGAACGTAGAAAAATGTACTCTATTGCCGATTAGTAGCAACCATTCCAATAGATTATGTAAATAGATACTTAGGTGCTATCTTCAATGTCGTCACCCACTCACAAAGTGTTGAAGATCAAATAAGATTTGTCTTAAAACTACTAACAATTGGATGGATCAAGTCATACTCACTAATACTAACCTTTTTTTAGGGTGAATACTCATCCAATGACTTCTCACGCCTTAAGTGAGGCGAGAGAGAGTATCAGATTTTATGAAAAACCACCACGTTCCTTCCCTTCCACACTCGAGCTTTGAGCCTCGGTAAAGAAACACTAGGTTACCTGGGATGAAAAATATCCTGACTGACTGCAATAATGCATTAAGATTTGAAGGTGTTCGTTCATAGAATAGTATTTGGTCTTATCCCAAGATATTTGAAATTTGACACCTTTTTCATCGTCAACTATGATGCCACAGTTACACTCTCGCACGAGTCGAGACGAGGTCGAGATACATTGTCGTTATTCTAAAAGAGTTATAGCCGTTCTCGTGTTATAAGACTGCAATGTACCTCAACTGCCTCGTTGGCCGAGTGGTCGCAAGTGCGACTGCTGGGCAAGGGGTCTCGGGTTCGATTCCCGGGTCGGGCAAAGTATTACAGGGTTTTTAAAGAATTCTTAGTAGTAGCACGGAGTCTAGAATTGTGCCCGGCATATGGCATTAGGCTCACCCCTATTACATGGGACTCCTAACATAAATAGTGAAAAGTGGTTGTGACATTGCACAGTGGTATAATGTGCACCTCTGCCTACCCCTTCGGGGATAAAAGGCGTGATGTTATAATATTATTATTTTATGTACCTCAATCTCGCGCGAGAGTGTAGATGCCCTTCTATCACAACCTATTTTCCCTTTCATTCATCGCACAATGTCCATTGAATTAGAACAATTACATTTACAGTACTTGATTGTCCAATAAAATAAATGTACGTGTCTGTAGTAAGTTCACAGTATTTTATATACAGGCTTTTACTTGTGGCTTGCTAAGCGTCTAGACGTCTGAATGTGTTTTATGGTATTACGCAAAAGTTAAGTTGAGTGTTCCAAAATATATATATTTTCTATAAACTTAATTACTTAACTTACCATTACTTGCTAGTTTTCTTTAAAGTACCTAATTTGTTAAAGGTAATATTACAAAATGTAGGTCACTTCACTTCACTTCGTCTTGATGAGCCGTCGTTTAACAAAAATATTTTTACTTGTGTCTTTGTCGTAATGTTTTATCTTTATTTTATTAAAAGTGCCTACCTAATCCTAAGTTAAAGAAATACATCAATCAGTTAAAGAAAGGATCAATGAGGACAAAGCATGGTATTTCTCAAATCTAGCAACTTCTTAGCTTCCTAGAAACATCCTGTATAAAGGATATAAAGGAATGGTTCCAATAACTTTCAAAATTATGTTTCTTAATGATATTTCTAGGTATTTGTTATTTAGCTAAGAATAGATTTGTAGTGTTTCGCTTATGGGACAAGCTTTGATATTAAGTACACAATTGGTTGGGACACAATAGTTATACTTCATTTTATGCTTAATTAAGCTTTGGTTCCCACAATTAATTAACGGTTAACAGTGGCGAGCATTAATAAAACCTAAATTTCATTGTCATTGTCATGTAAGCCTAGGTTCATCAAAGTCAAAGTCAAAATCATTTATTTTTAATTACACTAAGAAGGCACTTTTGAACGGCAACAAAGTATAAAAGTGAAACTATTTGCTCATTCCAAGTTGTCGATTCCTTTGGAGAAGAACTCCATAGAAATCTGTCCATCTACTGCTAGATATAGGCCATCCTAATTTTCTGCCATTGGATTTCACAAAAAAAAAAACGATATGGGAGATTAAGTAAAACTTTGTGCCGAACCCGGAATCGAACCCACGACCCGCGCCGCTGGTGAACGTACCGTGCGCTTTAGCTTCGTCCAACGCGCTGCCGGAGTTGGAAGCAAACGCTCGTAGTGTCCGACAGAGGGCGCGTTGGGCTCGCAGCGCAGGTGGCAACACCGAGGCGAGCGCCAACGCCAGCCAGTGAGCTGCGCGACGTCGCCGCGACCGCGCACGCTGCTCATGAGGAAGAACCCCTCTGTGGTTCGAAACTAGTAGAGCTTTTCTCAGTATATTCACGTGAGTAACCCGCGTTTTTACTTAATTTAGTATGTCTCACGATAGTTATTATAAAAAGATATGGGAGATTCATGTCAGCACAAATGAGTCGTCTCGACTAGAGTAATAATCCTGCCATGTCTTGGACTTCACCAGGATGGAACAATATAGAGTAATAGCTGGCTTTATATTTAGCCATGTGAATGAAGTTATAGGTGTCTTCTCCTGAGATCTCTTGTTGTTTAGCTACATATATAATTATGTGAGTGAGGTTAGTAAAGCACTTGCCTTCTTCTAAAAATACAACGCACTTGTACCTCTTCTGATGTCACGAGTGTCCATAGGTGACGCTGATCGGTTACCATCAAGTAAGTTGTCTGCACATTTACCTCCCCCCCTCCTATCTCGCAAAATTCCAGATAAAAAATGACTCCAAAGTAGCTATGACTATAATAGATAATTTTACAATAACTGTCATGAGATATACTGAAATAACTAAAATTAACGGTATATTCACGTAAACATACTGAGAAAAGCTCTACTGGGTTCGAGTTATAGTTCTTGGACTCTTGTTCATGAGCAGCGTACGTGGACGCGACGACGTCGTGTCTCGTAACTAGTAGAGCTTTTCTCAGTTAATTTAGCTATGATAACTAAACTTTGACCTGCTATTTTGATATCATTAAAATCGTATTATCGCTCTCTGAGTTTCTAGTTAAACCTTTACTTACTACTAATTCAAGTATAATGATTTAGTACGCTGATGACAGTTCTTTCTACTTACCACTTACGTATTGCTATCAATACTTTTCTATTTTCTATGCAAACGAATTCAAACTAAATACTCTTTGTACTGGAAGTGGTAATGTGAACTTTTGAGATACTATAATAAGGTTTAGTTTTATTGTAAATTGAAAACCTGCAATGAACAGAACTCTAAAAATTTACCAGTGAACAATGTAACACCTACCACTATCACTATTTATGTTATAAGTCCCATGTAATAGGGGTAAGCCTATTGCCATATGCCAGGCAAAATTTTAGACTTCGTGCAACTACTGAATTAAAAAAAAAACACATTCTTACTTTGCCCGACCCGGGAATCGAACCCGAGACCCGGTAGTCGTGTTGGCGAACACTCGGCCAACGAGGCAATCTGCTTACTCAATCTAAATGAAAAATAAATATCCGAAGATAAGTAAAAACCTCACAGTGCACGGGTAGAAATATTTATTACAACAGAATCGAAGACTATACACAACCTAATTAATTACAATATACACAATATTTTTTAACAGGAATACATTTTGTACAATTAATTTCAACGTTGAAATACTATTAATTTAATCTTAAATATAAACCTTATGCTATTAGAAATATAGGCTCAATTTACACTGACATATCTTTAAGAACATTGCAATAAATCGTGTTTTTTTATTATTTGTGTTTAATTAAATTAAGCTTAATTTCTAAGTAACAATGTTAAAGATTTTCTTTTTTTTTTGTTTATTTGCATTACAATAGTGTTTTTATATGACTAGTGGTTTTGACATATTTCTATTTTCCATATAGATTGGTTTGATTTTGTAAAGCAAATATGATTGAAAACATTCCGTATTATAGTTAAATTTAAGAGTGTCAACATTAACTACAAGAATAATAAATTAAAAACAATATAACAAACATCCTATACTGCTTAACTCGTTTCTCATATAGGTGGATGTTTAAAGTAATAACTCAAGTCGTATTCACTATTACAATTTAGTACGTACTTAAAGTCATCGCACACCTAAGAAGCACGGTTCTAGCACGGTTCCAACCCAGCAATTAACTTGTCATTTAAATTTGAATTTGAAATCGTATAACGTATGATTTATTTCATAACGTCAATACCAAAAACTGACGGCGGTCGGTCAGCGCGCGGTCCTCTCGCCTTGTAGTTTGTAGTTGAAGAGCCCACGCGCTTCCAGCGTGCTTACTGCACGCCGGCAGCGACCCGCTCGCCAGGTGTCGGCGAACGAAAAATTACTTACTTTATTATTTTACGGCCAATTTTTCTTTTCCTACTATCGCCAGTCTGATTTTTTAATTTTTCTGCGTAATATATTTTCGAATAAATGATGAAATGTAATAAGATAACTATTTAGGGCTATAAAAATGACACTCCATCCCGCCTCGCCCAGGCGGGAGCAGCCATTCGATGACTTTCTCCCCTTAAAAAAAAAGGGCTATGAAAATATTTTTGTAGAATTTTCTTCATCGCCTATCAAATGTCTAAAGTTTTTCATGTATTTCTCTTCTGCTTGTCTTTCTTTTAACATGTTATGCACCCAATATTTCTTTTTCTTTCCCGTTTGAGTGTCTTGTTCTTTGTCCAGAGCAAAAAATAACTTTTTGTCTCGTGGTGACAAAAACCTCGCGGCCGGCGCGCCGACCGCGCGCTTACAACACGCCACGAGCCGTCGGCACTCGGTTTGCGAGATTACAACTTACGGACGACGCGCCGTTAGCGCGCTGGCGGTTAGCGGCAGCAAAATTCGAAACTACGTCGTACAGGAGCTGTGCCCGAGCCGTGTTTGTTAGGTATACGATGACTTTTACACATCATAGTTCAAACTCTATAATTGAATGACTGTTACATCATTTTGAGTGGGTAAAAATATTTATCTATCACATTCGACAGTTGACAACGTTAATATGACACCTAGTGTCGTCACTGACATCGATTAGACTAGAGTCTTTCTTTTAGCAGGTTTTCGTCTTCTAACAGAATTGTATAATCAAGTGACCCAGTTTGAAAGCTAGAATTACAATGAATACTTTAAGCCCAGGATTTGAAATACACCTGGATTTGTTAAAACAAGTTTACAGGTTACATAATTTTGAATTCATATCTGCCAATTAGTGACTCGAATTGATTTGCACTGAAAACAAAGAACAGTTTCAGGTTGATAATTAAATGGTTTATTTTTGAAATGTGAAATTATGTAACTTGACTTACGTGGGCTCCATTGGAAATATTCCTCTTTATTTTATCAAATTCGTGATAACGGATACTTTTAAAGTAATAAATTATATTTACGTAACATCTGAGTACCTAATTTAATTTTTAAACTATAAACTCTGACCTTTGAACTTATACATTTTACTGTTAGACTTAAACACCCATAGTAAAAAAGTGTGTATGTAAAAATAATGATCTTCTAGTAAGAAGCCAGCCTTAATAAATTGCATAACAACGAGACAAAGAATTTCAAAAATGGAAGTCACCGCGCGCGAACAAATAAAATACAAGAAATATAGCAAGGAACACAGCCTACAAATAAAGTAATAGCACACACACTCGCAATACATTTTCCAAAAGAGTTAAAGAAGGCAGTTATGAAGCGACCTCAGCAACACAAGTACACAATAAAAATTCAGTTCACGTAACCAACAGGATATTTAATAAAATTCCGCAGCCATTTTGTCTGCTCCATTGGTGTTAGTCTCATGTATAATTAAAGGATAAAATAGCCTATAATCTCGATAAAGATAGCCGTATCGTTACCCGGGATCAAAATTGTTAGACGCGAAATACTTGAAATTTCTACTAAGACCTTGTGACGAAATTCTCATTATTTTTATAAAGATGTCCTTTTTTATCTGTAAGTAAAAAAGGCCATTTTTTATTTTAAATATGAATTTCGAACGACAATCAAAGACGCGATCGTAAATACAATTTAGCGAACTTATTTGTTTGTAAGTTGGTATCACTGTTCTACTGTTTCGAATTTTGAATTGACGAGAAAGGTACGTTTACCGTCAGGGCAGGGGACTGTCTTTCTCTTGGGTACGACTTGGGAAAGTATTCATTGGAATGCCGAATGATACTGAGGTATGTCAGAGGATTCCCTGGCATCCGAAGGACGTGTCTGGCATCGTGCAACCTTTGTTAAAATCACAGAAGAATCTTTCTATTGCGTAGTTTGTGCATAAAATAGGACACTGATCATTTTACTCTTTTGATTTAGATATGTAGTGCTGTTGTATGAAATATCAATGACGTTGGTAAATTAAGAAATGAGATAATTAATTATCGTGTTTAAATTTAAACAGTATGCAGACTAAACTCTCATATTTATACAACAAATGTTTATATTTCAAACGTGCATATTGAATATTTCACGAACATCATTCGCTTAACTATTGTTCATCTAAAACAACAACATATCATTAATAATTTAAAATAATCCCAACATTGTTGGAACATTAATTAACAACAAAGGGCTATACAACTATTTACATTAATTCAACTTGAATTGAAAACGATTTATTCGCTTTCAAAATATTCTTCTAATAGAGTAAATCCTTGCAAAATTTTACAAAAGCCAGATAATTTTAAGCGTCTCGGCTTACGATGCTCGCATTCGGAATGTTGTCCGAATCACACATCGAGTTAATCCCTACGGAGTCTCCTTTAACGAGATGAAATTTTTTGCTGTACACTCTATGAAACGTGACACCCTTAATAAAAAAGAACATTTTATTTTTAAAACAAAAGCGTGCGGCGAGGTTCTAATTACTGGCTGTTATTTATTGACATGAAATCGAGGTGACGTGTTTTCGATAAAATAAATTATATTCTAGCATTTGATACTTCAAACGTATTTTTATCCATCAATTTATAGAGTTTGGGTTTAAAAATTGATGGACCAGATATGTTATTTAGTTTTAATGGTGTAGGTATTATACTGTATTTTGTAAACCTATAATTTTAAAAAATCGTGGCATTGATCTGTGGTCTACATTTTCCACGTGCGTTTAACTGCATGGTAGCAAGGCAGCATAAAGAAACCTTTTAAAATGACAGTACAGCTTACAAAAGCCGAGTTCAATCACACTCATCAGGTAAATGAATACCTTTTCATACTAAAAAGGTATCTTATTATATAATTTGCATAGACTTTATAAGCAGAACTAATAAGGTCAATGGACCTAAGTATTCACATGAGCATGTCACAACGAAACAAAAACTGAACATTTTCCATTAATTAAACAACATTATACCATCTAAGAATTAGGACACACACCGCACACATTAAAATATAAAATGGCGAAATACAACAGCTACATTTAGAACAACAAATATATTATTAAATCTGTACACGAGAGATACACTAGTTAACGTCTAATATCACAAATATTTTTGTCTCATACTTACAAATTAACACAACAGCATGAATACAACTAAAATTAAACACGGAGATATTTTATCGACATTGGAGAACGCTTTGAGTCTGATCTCGTTTTGTACTGGGTGGCCGTACTCTTCAGTTTGCATCAGCTCTTTGGGGCACGGAAGAGTTTCCAGGGGAATATCGATAAGTTTCGTAGCTTTTTTGGTGAATTTCCTTTCGGAATACTCTTCGGTTTTATCATAATAGTCGTAAGTGTCTTCGGGTAGGGCATTATCTTTGGCGCTTTCGTTATCTTCTTGGTCGTTCAAGTGCCTGTCGACAGTTAGGTCGGTGACACATGATACTTTCTCGAGAGCCTGCCTTAGTGTGTTGTCTCGCGTCTCGTTGCGTAACGCGTAGATCCAGGAGAGGCGGCAATTACAGTTGAGTGGGTTACCTGTAAAGAGAAAGCGTGTTAACGTGTTTGCTTTAAGGGCACGTTTATTTTCTTGTACAATTTTTTTACGTTTACGTCGGTTTCAATGTGAGGCTCATTTGTCCAAAAATAGATTGAGACCCGTGTGTAATGATCAAACGAGAATGTTATTTCAGTTGTGGGGAAGAACAGTTTTGTTCTGAGATTTGTACTCGTTGGTTTTCCTTGTATATTTTAGAGACTCATTACAGAATATAATAAATAGGCCTTCGTGAGACATACTGAATTAACTAGATATCGCGGGTTACTCACGTGAATATACTGAGAAGAGCTCTACTAGTTTTGAACCACAGACGGGGTTTTCCTCATGAGCAGCGTGTGTGGTTTAGGGTCTTTATCAATTGGACCTAAACATCGAGTTTATCCTAAAATTTTTGACTGTAATAATACACTTGTATCGTTGTACTAAACAGTTTAGTTCCACTACAAGGTGAAACTAAACAAAATTACCTAAATACAATTAAAACTTTGTATTTCACTCTAATTGTTAGAAGTTGATGAAGAGTTGTCATCCCTTAGCATAGGGTTGTCCTATCAATTTAATTTATTAATTAAAATGGTTCTAACAAAGGCGTACCCGAGTTTTCCAGTGGTTTAGATTTAGGCATTGACAAAACCGTATTATAAATCAAGTTTCAATGTATTGGGTAAAGTTATATGGTTTACTATGGGCGGATGAAGGGACCCAGTTCCTTTCATGGAAGTGAACCGAGGTAATAGGTCGAGAAAATTCTGTGGTGGTGTGCAAACCGCGAATGTGTTTAGTTCTCACCGCATAAATGCGTGTCAATGCAGTGTGAAGTGTTAATGGGGCGGTCACTGTGATTTATGTATGCCTTCTACGCGTATTGTTTTAATGATTAACTGGAAAAGGTAAAGTTTGGGTGTGAATATAGAAGAGATGAATAATTTTGGAAATATGTCTGCATGTTTTTACTTGTAGTTAGAAATTAAATAACATACATACATACATAAGTTTACGCCTGTCTCCCATGGGGGTAGGCAGAGACTATGGAACACCAATTGTTACGATCTCTTATACTTTTTTCGCTTCATCAACACTCATCAATATTTTCATGCATGCTCGTCGATTAAGGATACTTTTAATTTAGCCCTTCTTTAATATATCACCTATCTGGTCAGTATATATCCGTTTACGGCGCCCTCTACCGACGGCCCCTTTCATATCCGCTCTGTATACTTCTTTCGTCACTCTTCTTTCATCCATCCTTTCTATATGTCCAAACCAGAGTAACATTCCCTTTCAATTCTTGTCACTACATCATCTTTTAATCCACACCTTTCTCTATTAACATTATTTTTCACTAGATTACTCAATTTTAAAGAAATTAAATAAATTATGATGTAAAAAACAATTAAGCTAAATTCAAATAACTTTTTCCTAAAATTCGGCTAATCTTTAAGATCCAGAGAATAAAACATTACGAAAATTAAGGTATCATTACTTGTACGATATGTCTCACCCAAACTCAAACTCACAGTCCCCGTCTCAATTGATCCTAATACATTTAACATGAGACCATTGTACTGTATCTAGTCTGCATAATAAACCACGCCATATTCAAATCGGTCCTCAGATCTTGCATCTGTTTCAATTCATTAGTTTGTGAGACGTTCAAAGGTACTAATTCATTTGTGTTGCAAACACAAGTGAGTAGCGTTTATTGCTTAAGAAGTGCTCAAAATGAGGTTTGGTTAAGAAGTGGTTGGTAGGCAATTAATGTAAAGAAATGACTATGAAGTATTTTTTTAAGGGGGGAACATCATCGAATGACTTCTCCCGCCTGGGTGAGGCGGGAGGGAGTGTCAGACTCTTATTAAAAACCACTACTGACTAAAAACCACCTCGTTCCTACTCCTGCACTTCAAGACGGAGCCCCGAAAACCCGGTTAACTTCTCCGCGGCTCGACTATGAAGTATAACCTAATTATTTGTGGTGAGATGTGAGGTGCCCATTTTCAATTAACAGTTAATTCTTAACTGAAGAATAAAATAGACATTTAATCGTTATTAATATGGAACAATTGTCTTATATTTAAAAGTTTTTCCTTTGATAAAATATAACCGGCCTTAGGAAAATCGGCCCTTATTCAATTACTTATGTTGTATTTACGTGAGCTTTGTGAGGTTATTGTTTCGCGTCATTTGTCAGATAATGCATTAGGACTACGAGCTCCAAGCTGGCTTGAAACTAGTTGAGATAGCTCGTCAAACAATTACATGAGTAAGATGTGAAACATAATTATGTAATTTAAGAAAAGTAATAGTATCGCTGGTACATACTTTAGTTACAAGTTTATACATGTTAATGTTTTCAGTATTGTTACAATTACTCAAAACATATTAAGGAAAACTTCAATATACTTAAAGCTCCTACCTACATACTCCAACCCAGAGATATTTGGGTATACATAGTACCCACGTACCTATATCTAAGTCCTGCCCTTACGTAACAGATTGCAATGTTTCACACACACCAGCACAGGCTTGTTACAATCAAGTTAGCTCACAAGACTGGCTCAGCCGAGCCGCGGGCGACCATTACTCTCATAAACCCGTGTACACAATGTGTGATCATGGGACTGAGGTATCACTTGATAATAGAGTAACCTTTGAGTTTCTTACTCGACTTTCAAGCTTTGAACAATTAAGCATTAACATTAAGATGGCTTAGCGCCATCTATTTCGATATAAAAGTCATCTATCGAGCGTTATGACAACCCTGAATAACAATTATTATTTTGTTATAAGTATAATCATCATCATAACATC